TCCCAGGGATGGAGGTGAGGCTGACCAGTCATCATGTAAGTGCATATTTGGAATTTATCAGCTCCAGGCTGCCTCTTGGCATGGTTGCTGCTTTCCCCTTATTTTTTCTGAGGTTACTGAAGGGAAATGGAGACTTCTGTTCAGGATTTCCCTCTGAAATAAGCATCATCTCTCACCACTGATTGAGGCTGAGGAAAGTGAATTTTATCTAAGTTCAAAACATGCAGTTTCTGTATGTGCTTTACTCCCAAACTACTTTAAGCAGAGGCTTATGGAGAAATCTTTTCTCATAGCTTCTGTTTTCTAGAAGTTGGTTTCCAGGGCTTGTAACCTGAAAGCTACGTTAAACATTGAGCATCTTGGAGGATTTGGTTCTTCGCAGGCTGTCTTAGTTTTAATATGAAAAATAAAAATGTAATGGTGGAAATCTTAATGTTGAGACCAGACACACAAACCAAAAAGCAAATTGCAGTTGAAGAGGGGAGAAAGGGAGATAAACTGAAATGTGTCAGCCTTAGTCAAATTTATGTTTAGTTGTAAAATAAGTATTTCTTCATGCTTGATCCCTGTGCAAATTTATTTAAAATCTGCAAACTTCTTCCAGAAGAGAGGGAGCTTTTAAAAAATGTATATATAACACCAGTCACCTAATCAATAGTAGATGTATAATTTTGCACTTATTTTTTTTTTTAACCTGTTTAATCATGATACATTCTTTTTAAAGTACAGCCTGGGCAAGAAAGATTACACTAATTTTAACTATTCAGAGAAGTTGTATTCTGTCATCCTGTTCAGATGGAGCAGAAGTTGAGAACATGCAATCATGACAAACTTATTAATATTAGCAAGGAATTAAAAAGGACTTGGATGAAGTTCTTAGTGTTAATTAAATATAATTTTGTATAATAACTAAAATTCTCTAACTCGTGTGTTTGGAAAGCCACAATGTTTGAATGAAAGGAATGTCTTTGATCACAGCCTGCAGCACCAGTCCTGCAAGCGTTTCAAAAGTAGCTTTACGAAGCTTGAATTTGCCAGTGTATCTCTTGTTTTCTATACACGTGTTTGTACACATACATTTATACTTGCATATTGTTTTAAGTGTGTTTGTGTAACTAAAGAGAGAATATGTGAATTTGCAGGATGGAGTCATAAAAGCTAGCTTTAGTTCTATTTACTGCTGCCATTTATGTAGTGGTGATGTCAGCAGCAGAATAAGCTTTTGATAATGCTAAATGGTACAACTGTAAAACAGAAGACCAATTCTGCCATTGCTGTTCGCTTCCAATTGAAGAGTGGCCCTGTATCGTCATGAGAGGAGGAGTTCTGTGAATAACCATACCAGAGAGAATGCACTTCTGTGTTGTTTTTTTTTGTTGAAGTAGAAACGTTTTATAGATATTTAAAAAATCTAAATTAAATATGTGAATGGTTGAGAAGCTCTTTTAGTTGTTCATATTTTTAATATGAATATTTATGCTGCAATGTTAGGGTGAATATGTGTTTAAATAAGCAAATCTATTGAAATCAGGTCACCAAAGCTGGTAAGCAAAACTCTTAAGGCAAATAGACAGTTCATGTTTTTTTTCTCTTCTAAACTAATTTTGCTTTAAAGAAAAAAACTTGTTGAAAGTTCATTAGTTAAGCTGCTGATTTGGCATAAATGTTGCTTCTTTCTGACATCTGAAATAGTATATCCTACATTTAAATTGCTGGAACCAAGCTAATAATTGACGACATTGCTTTGTTGCCTTTCTTCAAACTAAAAAAAAATAACATCTACCAGTCTAAGATATTTTTTCCTTATATTTGCAAAAATACATCTAAGGCTTTTTTTTCTGTATGTGCTAAAACATTATAGCTTGCCATGACTCATCCAAGCCATCACTTAAACTTTGGAATGAATCCTGATCATGCTAGAAATTCCTTATCCAACTGTGGGATTCGACAGCCAAAGTACGGAGATAGAAAAGTTCACCATATGCACATGAGAAAAAAAGGTATGCTGTTACACCTCTAGCATTTTTCTCTCACCTCATACTTAATCAGCAGGGAAACCTTTTGTCCATTATTATTTCATTAGTCATTGTTCTTCTGAGAGATCTCTTCAGTGGAGGATTTCAATGGTTATGCACAGACACCAGTGAGATCTTCCTAAAAGACTGGATTTTGGAAATTAGTCAACAAGAGCTGAGAAAGAGCAAGGATAATAAATGGAAGGATGATTTTTTATTTTTGACAAGTGTTTTTGTCTTAATTTGCTGCTTAACATGGTGAGCAAACTAGAGGATATTTTCTAAAAATATCTTATTAGTGTGAAAAGATGTGGTCTGTCTGCTGTAGAATATTTCTTACCCCTTAGAAGTATATTCAGCTGTAATGAAGTAAATTGTTCACTTTTTATGTAACATTTGGAATGTCTTTTTCGTGCAAAGGTGGTATTTTTATCTAGCTCTCTGAATGCAAAAATACAGTAGTACTCTAATGGGACTGTGGTCAATTAGGCAGAGAGCATCTGTAAGGATTATACTTGCTGTAAGTAAACCCTGTAAATAACAGAATGATCAATTACAAAGTAACATTCTGAGAACCTATTTTCTAAGCCTATTCAAATTGAATTAGTGATTGTTAATTTAATTGTGTATTGTTTATATTTCTAGGGATAAATACCCTGATAAATATTATGTCCCGTTTGGGACAGGATGATCCAGCTCCTTCCAGGTAATGAAAATAATTGCTTACAAGTAGGGAAGCTGTTGCAGAAGATGTCTGACAGAAAATAAAAACCCAACAACTTATTGTGAGCAACAGCTTTGGCAAATAGTTGAAATGAAAAGTCTTTTTGAATTGACTTATATTATGAAGATATGCTGAACCTTCATTAGCAGTGACATAGCAGATGTTTGGTCATGCCTGCAGAAAACTCCTGAGGAAGATTTCAACAGATAATTTTATCATTTTTGTTTGTCCTTGAAATGAAGAGGACTAAAAGGCTACCTCTGCTTTCTGCAGACTAAAATATAAGATTTGTTGTTATCATTATCGTAACTATAAATTGGATTCTCCATCACATTTCCTCACATTAGTAGCTTCCTGGTATGGCACCTTGTTAACATGAGTGTGATACTGAACATGGGCTTCATTGATTTACTGGTCCAATGTAAAGACATATGCAAACCCCAATTATTGTTGTAAAGTAATAATCCTTAAATGACTACTAAGAATTCTGTGCAAATAAAGTTCAAGATGTAATTTATAGCCACAAGCATTGTATTTAGTCAGAGTAAATAAACAAAGTTCACAGGGCTAATGCAAGAAGCAGTTGCATGTGAAATCTCCTAAATGCATGGACTAGAGGGCAGATTGTGTTTTAGTTAATTAACTAAACTATAACTTGGCCTTTTAAGAGTCATTATTTTGGAGGAAGCTCGGCTATGGGAGAAGTTGAATTCTGGTTAAATCATTCTTGCAGAATCTCCCAAATGCTGTTTCAGCTAGACTATGCTCTTTTCTTTGAGAGTCAGCCTTAAGCTTATTTCAGCCCTCTTAAGATAATGTGAGATAAGGCTAAATTACATTAATTCTCACAAAGCGACGCACAAATATAAAATCCCACTTCCGAGAGATCTGTGTTTTCTGCTGTGTTGCTACACAGAGGAGTTGTAGTTTTGCTCATGTTTTTACACAGCAGATGCACATGAATTCTTTCAGCCCACAAAACCCTACCGTTTCAGAAATTAGAGTAACTTTGTAATTGTTGGGGGAGTGCAAATTACAATATAAACTGTGAAAACACTTGAGAAGGATCTTCTGGACTAAAAAAAGAGAAAACCTTGTGGCAATAGCCTTGATTCTATTACAATCATGTGTGAAGTAAAAATGTTGCTACTTACATGCTTTGATGTGTAGAGCAAAAATTTGTATATATTTGAAGACAAACTCATGTTCTTTTTCAGCTGCTATGTCCTGTTAGTCCTTAGTTATATAAACAGGCAGAGAGTTTGAAGGAAACAGAACTTTATGCAAAAGAAAGGAAAATGAGGAGAAGTGATAGAAGAAAAGGAAAATACCGGAAATATAAGATACTACTCACTAAATGGCATCTTTGAATCCATCTTCTTGTAGAGCCTTTTTTACTTTTGAGTTCAGAGGAAGTTACAGAAAACAGGGCATTTAAAGGTGCTATGAAAAACAAAAGTACTTAATCCCTTGGAGCTCTGCCATACCAGCAAATCTGTTGCAGAGTCATCCCACCTTGCAGGTGTTGATGTTAATTGCAAACACTTCCCTAGTTGCATGCACAAGACTGGAGACAAGGCTGTTTGTTTCAGTCGCCTGGTGCCTTGTGATGGAAAAAGAAACCTGGCCTCAGTGCCACTCAGCGGCACTGTTTCCTTTCTCCATTTGTTAAAATCTTGCAATAGCTCAGAATGGAACATATGAAAATTTCAAAGGCGGTGGTGGTCATTCCTGAGTTTCAAGATTCATGTAGTTGCGATCCTGTTTTGGAAAGCATCGTAACCCAGAGAGGGTGGGGGAGGCAGCGAGAAAGTCTATTGTGGCTGATTAGCAATCAACTCTGGTTTGTTCTATTTTAATTGTATTGTGTAAATAACCAGCATGTGTTCCTTACTGATAGTAAACCTTAAAATGCCTTTTTCAGGATTAACCACAACGAGCGTTTAGAATTTCTGGGAGACGCTGTGGTGGAGTTCTTAACGAGGTAAATGGGGAATTCTTCAACAGTCCTCACCTTTGTACGTTACTGTCATACTGTTGGGCTTATTAAGCTTTGCATTGTCTTCTTCTTATGAGTGTGTATTTTTGCAGTCCTGCCTGATATTTAGAACTGCACATCTGCAGACGTCTGTCTTGAAAATTCCTTCAGTGCTGATGATCCAACGAGGAAGATTACAAAAGGAAAGGCTAGAGTTTCTGTTTCATAGAGTACAATTTCAAGTTGATTGGAGTTAGTGATTATTCAGCTACAGACAAATTTAACTTTGTATCATTTCTTTAAAGGACATATTTTTGTTAGCATTCTATTTTGTTTCCGTGGGTTTTTTTCCTCTAGTTGCAATTGAAAAGCTGTTACTGGTAATATTGAATGTCTTCCCGTTCTATATTTCCAGCTATTAGGGCTGTAGCTTCCATAATGTTTGTATGCAAATAGAGTAGTTGAGCACAAATGTAATTTATTTAGAAGTAATAACAAAAAAACATGGTTCATCAGAAACTGCTCCAGTTTTGATCTGTTTTGAGTATTCTGAAATAGTGAATAATGCAGGGACATTATCAGTTACCTCCACTGGCCTCTCTAGAGTACTAGAGGCAGGCAGTTTGTGCAAAATAAAGATTGTCATCCAATTTCAGCTGCTTTGTTTTACTGTTTTTGATAAGTGTGTATAGTCTTGCTTACTGCAAAGCTTCTCTTTAAGCAAGTTTGTTCTATGAATAACAAAACTGCCCTTATCTCCATTCTCTACTGGCCTCTTCTAGCCATTAGCCACTCAACATTAAAAGCTATTAGTCTATAAAGGTCTCCACTGCCCTTAAAACCCATGGCCTTTTCTCTCATACAAGATAAGATGGAAGACTTGCTGATTAAAATGTCTTGCATTTTCATTGTCATTGTTCATCAACCATCAGCTGACTTTCTGAGCTAACTTTTGGCTCTATTCAGAAAGAAATCTGAGCTACTTTTCTGTTCAATAGGGCATATAAGCACCTAGTTAAGTGCTGAATTTTTTTACAACTCTTGTCTTCAGGTCTCTGCTTTTGTGAACTTTGATGCTTGATTAGATTGCCTCTTAAATTTTATGGCATTTTTTGCCCTTAAATAATTTTGCATCCATCTGCAGTTTTTCCCCTGTATACTGGCTTAATGAAATATTTTAATAATTAGTGCCATCCATGGCCTTATTTGTGTGATGTTGAAAACCCTCTCTGTATTAACGTCTTTCTGACATAGGTTAGATAGTCATATATGAAGATACTCAGAATTGTTTATCCTTTACTCAGATCTTGGTTGGATCACTGAAATACTTTTTGCTTCTGGTTTATGAAGTCTCTTGCATGAAGACGAAGGCAGTTGAAAGCCTGTGATTTTTTGCTCGTTATGTTTTTTCTGTAATATTAATGACTTGGCACATTTGATAAACACAGATTGTTGAGTTCTGTTCTTTGGCTTTGTTAGCATCTGTGAGAAGCTTGTCAAGCAAATACCCTGAGTGGTGATCCAGCCTGAATCAGTAGTATCCTCTTGACGCACTTCCCAACTGTGGCATGGCACTTCTTAAGGCTGACAATTCCCTTGTGCTTTATTCCTCAGCATCCTCTAGGTATCAGCCTTGCTGAAAGTGCTGCTGCTGATAGAAACCTTTTAGATGAGGGAGCTGTGTGCCCTTGTAGGGACTTCAGAAATTATGAGCTGCTGAGTAGAGAAACAGCACTCTTCCTCCGCCCTGTCCACCCCCCCTGCCCCCAGCTGCCAATGCTATCCAGTCAAATATTATTGAGCATTGTTTTAGTGTTTGGTTTTTTACCTTACTTCAAGCTAAATTGCCACCTTGGGAAGGGACCTGTGTTCCCAGCTAGGATCTGAGGGAAAGGCACAGTTGCCTAGAGGTACATGTGATTGATCTTTAACCAAATGCTGACAGCATCTGATTTGATTTTTGTTTTGCCAGTGTCCACTTGTACTACCTGTTTCCCAGTTTGGAGGAAGGAGGCTTAGCTACATACCGCACTGCCATTGTACAGAACCAACACCTGGCCATGTTGGCCAAGGTACAGTATTATACATCTCTGTATTTGACACCAATAAGTAGGGTACTTGTAGTGTGTGGATTGCTTCCTGAGAGACCTGCCTGCTTTGAACATCAGCACCTTTACTGTGTTTTGTGTGCAACATTAGGGATACAGGAACTCATTTCAGTTTGAAATTAGATTTTAAAGATGAAGTAGATGAAGACTTACTTTCTCCAGAGCATGTTTTTAGAAGTAATTTTTGCAGGCAGAAGAATAAGTTTTTAGAATTCTTATCTTGAAGGCGTGTCTATACCTGTGCAATTTAAAGGTAATTAATGAAGCTGATAGTAGAAATTTAGTGAAGAAAAAGAACAAACTGATTGTTTATGAAAATACATGATAGAATATATAGGCAGAACATGGCAGCAGGTGGTAGACAAAGTGAGGAAAATATTTTACTCTGCTCTGTAACCTGTGCAATCATTTTCAGATTGACTGTGAACTGTGAAAAGCTTCTGTTGGAAGTTGTATTATCTCATGGGAAAATTGAGATGCCTCTGAATCTTATTTCATTTGATTCTGTGAATGCCAGAGCTTTTTACATGACTACATGATACTGGGGGCGTGAATATGATATAGAAAGTTAATTAAGTCTCTATTCATAGATATTTTGGTATTCCCTTATACTTCCCTTCATACTTGATAGGGATAGCAAGATTTTTTTAAAAAAGTCTGAGACTTTCTGATATAATGTGTTAAGCTGTGTGCACGCATGTGCACATACATGTCCACTCTGTACTGCTGATAGTTTTCGAGTGCTCTTTTAATCTTCTGTTCATATTCACACTGAAATTTAAACAAGCATACCCGATCCTGACATTTTGGCAAAAACTGCATGATTTCTAACATGTCATCATTTTGCTCTGTTCTCAGGAGAGACATGGGATAGGGAGTGAACGCAATCTTTTCCCTCCAAAGCTTTCTTTAATCATTTAGATAAGCATGCTTTGGTTTAAATGTTTCAGATGAGGGCTTTGTTTACAGATATGGTATTGGACTGCCTTACGTTTGAATTCATGTTACTATTTTAAAACCTGCTTCAGGAAAGCTCATACATTCTTAAAGCTCTGTTCGCAGCCTTTATCATTACACTTGGACAATTTTTGAAAAAAATGATTGCAACATTTTTTAAACTGTATTTATTAGTATTAGATACAACTGTAAATATTAGATATCTGTACATTCCTGATTTCCCATCTTGCCCTTTTTCCCCTCTCATTTATCTTATATGATGTTCCTGGTCTCATCCCCTTTAATTATCTCCTGCAGTGTCATGTTGCATTCAGTTTATTTAATATCATTCTCAGCTCCTCAACTTCTCTTGTGCATGTGGAATGCTGTATTAGTTGAGGAGCAAGCAACAAATTTCTGTAGCTTCTAAGGGACGTTGTAGGAGAAATATAAAAAATAATCTGAAATGTACTGTGATCAAAAAAGAGAAGCAAAACACGTGCAAAAAAAGCTGAATACAAGATATGGAGATAAGCCATTGGAAGTAGGGGAGACACACCACCACCCAAACACCTGTTAACTTGAACAAATTACAATAATCTGTAAGAAGTTTAAATTTGATATGAAACAATTAATGTTCCACTTCTATGTTGACTCGTGAGTGCTTCCTGCCCTGTATAAAGTGGCAATTTCCTGAGTTCTGGAGCAGTGAATAGACTCTCATTCATTGAAAATGGAAGACTCCTTTTTTCCAATTGAAATGTAGCTAAACCACACACCTCAAACAACTTAGTCTCTGCTTTTATTTATTAAATATACTCCAGGTGATGAAGTTGAAAATTAATGAGAAATTAGTCAGTAGAAACACCCAGTTGGGAAGAACCTATTCCCATACAAACTTCACAAGATGCACAAAGCTCTTCTTTAAAAATCCCTGTAATGGTTTTGTGTCAAAAAGATGAATATGTAAAAGGAATCTAGTCGTTATTACCTGCGTTTCTATAGCAGAATTATCATATATAATATAAGCTATCTGACTCAATACTTGAGATTCTGACTGTCAAGCAGCACTGTGGTTAAGGCAACAGATGAATGTTAATGATGCACATTTGAAAGGAAAAAGAAAGCTAGGTGGCACTGTGGTTTAAAATATCAGTCTTCTGCTTGCAGTGCCCAGCGGCTTTTGCTACTGTCACCTGTTGACACTCTTAGAAGAAAAAGCCAGATGTTCAGTGAATTGTGTATACCAGAGTTCCTGTTCCTCGCTATTCTACTTTATCTTCTTCTTGTAGGCAAGATCTCTTTTCCTCAGTGTTAGCTCCCCTCCCTTTGGAATGTCCTTTTGGCATTTCTGAAGGTAAATTACATGAGGGCAAACTGTCAGCAAGAAACACATCACGTTGCACCATCCAGCCGGTATCAGGCTATTTTTCTGTCACGCCCTCAGCCCTCCTCCTAAATCTCACTAGTAACATGTTTTGATCTGGCTTCCCTTGACAACTTGGTTCGATAATGCCTCGCTTTCCCACACTATCACACTCTAGTTCTTTGACTCTGCTAAACAAATATGAAGTATTCTAATTTTAGCCTGTGTCTGAACTGAAACTATGGAGAAAAGCTTTAAAGTTCCCTCAGAGCCAGTTGCTGCATTATAAAGATGTAATTGAACTCTAGTGACTAGAACTGGTAGTCTTGTACTTCTAAAGCCATAATTTGTTTTAACTCTTTCTACATATTCTGCAGAAGCTGGAACTAGATCGATTTATGCTTTATGCTCACGGTCCAGACCTTTGCAGGGAATCGGATCTCCGCCATGCCATGGCCAACTGCTTTGAAGCCTTAATAGGTAAAGTATGTGTGTTTGTGTGTCCAGACAGTTGTTTTTTAATGTGTCTAAATGCCATGTTGACTGTGTTGGAGAAGACGTGGGTCTGTGTTGAGTGGTGTTAGTAGGAGTAGGCGATAGTGAAGCTTCTTAAATCTCTTCACATCTCCTACACATATGCCACATGTATAACATGATGAGTGTGTAGTATTATAGTGAAAACCTCATCTTTCATATCCTGCCTCCCATGCACTGGTGCACCCTTTCCATATTGTTATGGTGCAGCAGTTTTGTCCATCACTGCAGAACTCCACCTCTCATGCACTTCCCATCAGGGGGTAGTAATTTAGTCACCATGGCCTGGCATGCCCAGACCTGCAAAATGTGGGGTCCCACTTCAACCCTGAATTTTAAACTCTGTAGCATGCTTTCTGAATGCACCAAGTACTCTCAACCAAGTCACCAGCCTGCTTCCTCTGTGCCCTGCTAACCTTCCCCTGTGAATTAAATGTGGCATTTGCCAAGTAAATATTTTTTGGTCTTTGGAAATAAGCAGCATGGCAGTATGCCATGGGTGGTGTAATAAAGCTATCGAAACACTGAGGATGAAGGGGGGCTCTGTCAAGTTTGCTGTTGGGCACCAAGATGGTGATATGCGCCAGTTGATAAATTTATGATAGAGAATAAATCTGAACTGCTTGACAGCAGTAAGGTGGAAATCTATTATCATTGTATCCACACAAGCTGGGTTTTGAATAGCATATTTTGTAAAACATTACTTGTTTGAATATACAAAGCAAGCTAAATCTCACTGATTTGGCTCCATATTCATCCAAATGTACCGTACATTATATTGGCTATGGGAATGTTTTAGCCCTGATCTGGGTCTTTATGTACTACGCAAGCTCCAAAAGCATTTTGTCCTGCTTTGAAAAAGAGTTGGGTTAGATGTCAACAGTTCTGTGCATTCTGCCTTGAGCCAAATTGGATTTCATCTTATCAAGAAATAACATTTGTCTTTTTAACTCTGTTTTGCTTTCCATGAGTGCTTTGATCTTTAATTTAAAAATAAAAACCAAACAGAAAAGAAACACTAGATATGTGTCTGTGGCTTTGTTCATATACTTCAGCTTGTCTAAGATGTAATGATGAGGACTATTTGGCAAGCACTGAGATTTGCTAAGAGCAGACTTGCTGTTTAACCTCCAATAAAAAGTTGTTCACAAAGTTAATTGAGCAATGAGATTTTGTCAGTGCCGTAGCCAAAATCTTGGAGCTTGTTGAGGGACTATGAAAGTATATGAGGGGTCTGGAGCTCCTACTTGAGAACCTGTGCAAAGTCTGGTGCTTCTTCCTTGTGATGAAAATAATAACCAAAAATAGAAACAGACTGCCTAGGACCTGTTTGAAATTCTGTGTTCCCATAATATGCCTCTGGCAAAGATAGTTTTATAAACCCCTCAAATGATTCTCCAAAGAAAGTAGTTGACTTAGTGAGGAATTTAAAGGAAAGAGGAGGGGAAAGATACAGCAAGGCAAACCATGTTCTCCCTGTATGTGGGAACATGGACTCTCTCTCTGTCTGTGTTCTTGTAGCTGTATATTTCCTTTGCTTGTATATGGATGTGCTTACAAGAACTAGTTTGAGGTTTTTGGAAGCTCTTCTGTAAAGAATATCAAAGGACAAAATGTTAATACTGAATTTATAAGTGCCTGTACAGATACAGACTATATATGGTACACACAAAAAATATAATTTGCTAGCACAAGTTTTGCAGACCTTGGTACTAAGGGACATGTGGAAGGCTATGTGAGGGCTGTATATGCAGTTTAAAAAAAAAAAGTACTAATTCCCCAGAAATTGGGAGATGCAGAGGTGCAGTTTTCAGTTCAGACAATGTATTATAGTGATACTGGGGAGACAACGAGGTTTGTAATAGACCAGACACATCACTTATATGCAGAATGTAATGTTGAAAGTACAGTATAAATGAAGATTATTTGCTATGTATTTCATGACTTTCACTAGCTACGTACATAGTATAGTTAGCTGATTACTGGAAACTACTTTTAGAAATGTATGGCTTCTAGTCTAATTTGTTTAAACTTTGCTTGATGGATGTATTGTTTAATCACTAATGTAACTATTTCAAGTTTTTCTGTGTATTTTATTTAAAATTCTCAAAAAATTAGGTATTACTGCAGAAAGCATGCTTTTAAGAAAATAAATGCATTGGAGGTGAAGAAGGCAGAGATCTTTGACTTTCCTGTGCTTAGTAATTTTCTAAGTACTAATGCATTATTGACCTTTGACGTATTGGTCTGCTCATGCAGGAGCTGTTTATCTAGAGGGGAGCCTAGAAGAAGCAAAGCAATTATTTGGACGTTTACTCTTCAATGACGAGGTATTTATTTATTTATATGATTTGATTTCCATTTTAAAAGTAGTTGAAGATCTGCTTTCTTGTCCATTGTTTTACTTGGGAATCACAAATGAACAGGAATACACCTGTTGTACTTAGTTCCTGGTAACTAAATGTAGCATAGCATGTTTAGGGCAGCAAGCTGCACTGGTTCAGGTGAAAAACCTGTGGTGTTTCCTCAGGTGTGGTGTTTGTTGGTCAGCTTAGGTAGGGAAGGGCGAGTGGCATGGGAAACCTGCAAACTTCCATTCAAAGTGCAGCTCTAAGAGAGGTGGGTGCTGTGGATCCAGCAGCTTGCTTTGAGGAAATGATGTGCATGTAGAGCAGCAATTCCTGTTTCATCAGTTAAATCCTCCCACCCCTAAAGGTTTTAAATGTATCTTTGTAAAAAATACAGGGGATTTCATCCAGTGTTTACCCAATTGCATAATTAAAGTCTGATCTATTCTTGCATACTGTATTTTAGATCAGTCCTAGCTGGAATTTATCCAGAATAATAGCTAAGAAAAGTAACCAGTACAGACTGCTGGGACAATATATATGGCAGTGGTGATGGGATGAATCGTACAGTATTTTCCTTCTTGAAAGCCTCTGAGTGTGAAATGACAAAGCTTATTAGAAATAAAAGTATTTTGAAGCCTATTGTAACTCAGTGTTTAGTTGCTGCTCAGTGCCTGTTATGAAGGAAGCCTATATGAAATTGAAGAAAATAAGTGGGGTCGTTGTGTTTTTTTTCTTTTTTAGTCGTTGCCTTTGGTGAAGTCAAACTTGCTACTGAGAAGTGCTTGCAAATAAAGTTAGTCCTGAGGCTTAAACAAATCTTTTTCTTCCTTTAACCACTTTTTATTTGGTTCAAGGATTTTTCCACCTCTTTGACACAAGCTAATTGGGACAACTACAGGCAGTTTGAACAGCAAATACATGATTTTAAAAATTAGTTTGCCAGCACTATTGAATTTGCAATAAGCAGAGTCAGCATCTGAAATAGTTCAGTATTTCAAGTAATGACATTTTATTTAGTACTGTGGAATTTGTTAAATGACTCCCTTGAGCATTAAAGGCATCTCTCAATGTTTGCAGGACCTGCGGGATGTATGGCTTAATTATCCACTACACCCACTCCAAGTAAGTGTATCTCTTTCTGTAATAAATTTCATAGGTCTCTTTTATTTTTAGGGATGTTTTTCCATAGGTTTCTATTGTAATGACATCTCAGAAATTGTGCTAAAAAGTAGTATATGTATTTGCCTTTGTGTTTGGTTTTGGATGTCTGTTTCTCTGAGGATAAATCATTCACCTTTCCTTGCCTCATGTTTGATATATAACTGCTTATATGACAAATCTAGTGAGAGGTAATATTTCGGTGGCTTCTTATTCATCTTCTTGAAGTTGGTGGAAAAAGGTTACAAAAACAATCTATTCACGTATTTTGTTAACCTAAAACTAAGACTGAAACGTTAATAAAAGGAAGGCACATTAATTGAATGGAATAAGAGTTTGATTCTGATTTTTGGGGGTGTTTTCTTGTGTGTGTGCATGTGATGTTTTTGTAGTTTTTTCTCTGTGTGTGTGCAATGATAGCATGGTTGTTTTGCTGCTTTCATACCAAGTGAACACTGAAATTCTGAAGGTGTCTGAAAGCTATAGTTTATCCTTCATATATTGGAGGTTATATGTTCACAGATTGTTAGATTATGAGGCTGGAAGTTGGTTTCCCAGTCCTTGTTCCCTGACTGAATTCTGGGGGAGACCTAAAGCAAGTCTCAAAGCCTCTCTGCACGGTAGCTTCTTGTCTTCACAGCAAACATGGTAGCATTTTCTAAGTGTGCAGGGACGCTGCAGGAATGGCTGTATTCAAATTGTCATCGAGTCAGTCAGTAAGGTTTTCAGGGTCATATAAACATCTGAGAGGTTTCTTTTGTCCAACCAAATCTCTGATGTTTTGTGCAGTCAGTTTGACTGTTTGAAACTCTTTATAAGCATGCCCTTCCGACAGAAGGTCACTTTGAGGCCTCCATCTGAAATGTCTTGTGTATTTGTACAGATTTTGCAATGGGTACATAGACAAAATCTTCAGCAACAAATCAGTGCACATGAAGTGTTTTTACAACCAACTCTGTGAGTGTAAATAGAAAAGAGCTTTAATAGGAAATAAACTTTTGAGATTTAGCACCAGGTATCCTGCCTGGTAGCACAAGCCTCCCCAAAAATTCTTCTTTCTCTGGCTTGCTTTCTTTTGTCTTACTTTATTTTAACCTTTTTATCTTTGCTTTCGCTGGATTCTGCTTAGAGAGTAGAGACAGTCAGTATATGCACCTTATAATTTCTTGCTACTAACTTAACATGTGATTAAAATTTATTTTCTCCCATGTCCCAGAAGCTGTCCTAGCTCCCTACTTGCTAGTAGGGGAAACAGGCCTCTCAGGTTGGCCTTTGGGCAGAGCTAGCCTGAAAAATGGCATTTTAAAAATTATTCAAAGTCATCGTAACAATATGACAAATGAGATTCCAATTTAAAAAAAAAAAAACAAAACAAAAAACAAAACAAACCCTGGGTAAGATATACAGAACTGAAGGCCTGTTACTTGGCACTAGTCAAGTCAGTAGAAACGATGAAAATAATAACTAATGGTCACCTGGATAAATGGGGTCTCTTTAGAAAGAGTCGACATAGAAGATTTTTAGAGGAGACAAAAATGCATGTGATGTTGCAGATGATACTGTCTGCTGGGTTTCCTAAGAGGCTCTTGGAAAGGCACTCATGAAAAGCTTTTAAAAATGTGTTTAAAAAAAAAAAGTCACTCCAGTGAATACTGTCAGTCCTTGCAAGATTTAAAGGAATGGCTGAAACTTCAGAAATGGAGAACAGGAGTGAAATGACCACATCTTACAAGGGATGGAGATCACTGGCAGATTTCCCTAGGGATCTTTGCTAAAGTACAGGCTCTTCGCGTCGGCAGCTTTAGGGAAGAGGGTGAGCAGTGAGGTGGCAGTTTGACAGTACCGGATTATTAAAGGTAGGAGGGACAACAGCAGACTGAAGAACTGAAGTCTCATTGCGAGAATGCAAAAGTGACTAACTGTAGTGTAAAAAAAGCAGATTAATTTCTGTGTGGGTAAATATAAAGGACTGTGCATGAGAAAGAAAAAGCAGTCTCGGCTCCACACGCAACTGAACTCCAAACTGACCTTTATCACCCAAGTGTGGGATTTTGGTGCCGGGATATGTAGTTCTGCGAAGATGTCAGCTGAAAGCTTGGTGTTTAAGAAAAAAGACAACTTGAATTTAATCAATTCATAGAAAAGGGATAGGCAACAAACCAAAAAAAGATTGTAATGCCACTTTAAAAAAACACTGGCTATTCTTACTTTTTCATCCTCATCTGGATGATTCCTCCTTCAAGTTATTGGTGTACTAGAGAGATGCCCAGAGGGGCTGGAGAAAATGCTTAAGCCATTTCCTAGCTCCAGAAAGCCATTTAACACTGTCACCACAACAAGGACATCAGACAAGAAACTGATAAGAAAAGATACTGACTCAAAGTGATAATTTAATTTTCTTGTGTTATTGTGCCCTTTTGAATTTCATATGCTACTTATTTATTCTTGATTTTTGATACTGAGGGAAAGTGGGAGAAATAGATTTGGGTTTTGTCTCATCTTGACATGCTGTCAGTCTGCCAGCCCTATTCTAATAATTTTTTTATCTGTTGCTCAGTTGCAAACAATGTGGTAACTGGAAAACTCGGACATGTACAATTGTTCGTGTTTTGTGAAAATAAGTAGCTTGTACTATCCACATGTAAAGGCACGACCATTTAAACAATGTGTTATAAAGGCCTCAACTGGTAAAAAAGCATACATCAGAGCTCACATCTGCTTTGAGTGATAATTATCCGAGACAAAAAGCCAAAGGAAGCTGGGTTTTTCTCAGTTCAGCTGTCACAGAACGACTTGTTCACTATATTCTTTGCCTTTGGTTTACAGAAGGTTTGCTTTTCTCTAAAAAGTTCTGAAACTGTCAGTATGTCCTTACTTGTACTTCATTTTATTTACAGCTGCAGGAGTCCAACACTGACAGGCAACTCATTGAGACCTCTCCGGTTCTGCAGAAGCTTACAGAGTTTGAGGAGGCAATTGGAGTCATCTTTACTCATGTTCGGCTTCTAGCACGTGCGTTCACTCTGAGGACAGTAGGCTTTAACCATCTGACTCTGTGAGTACACAGCAAAAGTCCTCATGTAGCTCTGTTGTTCCTTCTGTTAGTATCCCAGGTTGCTTTATTTGTAAACAAACTTTAGATGTTACATTTCTTCTCCAGAAGAGAATAGAGCAGCTGTGTTCCCGAGCCCACCTGGCTCGGTATCCTGTCTCTGGTACTAGTCAGTAGCAGATACCTTTGGAAAGACTAGAAGATGTTAGTGAGTCATCCTAGTGTTTCTTTCCAGGGAGCTCAGATCATACTTGGAGGTACATTTGGGCAGAGGAAAAAAAGTGAAAATCATGTTCTTTGGTCCAAGTGCAGCCCTTGTTTCTCTGGTACACAGAGCTGCCAGATCCCATTTTAAAGCAAACAGTAGAGTCATACCAGTGGTTTCCCATTCCAGGATCTCACATGGGTTTGAACCCTAATTCTTGTATTTTTCATGAATGGACAGACTTTTTTTTCTATTGAAGATGTTGCATCCATTAGTTTGTTCTTATAAGAAGTTGCAGATAGAGACCTTATCCCATTGCAAACTTGATGTCAACTGCTCTTCTCCTTCAGTTAGTCCCAGATCTGTGATCTAATGATTGTGTTTATATATATCTACCCTAATTTGCTTTTTCCATGGAAGTTGATGTTAAAACAGGTAATGAGCTGTGTTTTCATCTCACCTGGTTAACACTGGAAAATTTTCTTAAATGTGTTTGAAAATGAGCGAGGCTCACTTTCAGATTACTCTTTAATTTGTGTGTGTGCATGCTGTTTTTGTTTTTTCCTCCTTGAGTGCTTATTGATTTTGCTGCATTGATGTCTCATTTTTCAGAGGCCACAACCAGAGGATGGAATTCCTGGGTGACTCTATAATGCAGTTGGTAGCCACAGAGTATTTATTCATACATTTCCCCGATCATCATGAAGGGCACTTAACGGTGAGAATGCCATCAATCATGCTCTCCAGGAGAGCAAAAGTGGGATGGAGACTGAAATTATGGGAGCAGCTTGTGAATTGTTCTGGATTTGATTAATAAAAGAAGCCTCAGCAACCACTGCTCTTAATAAGACCTTGTTAATTTTAAGTCATGAGCACTGCAAAGAATAGAAAATGGTGATTTATGAGCCCAGTGCAGTAATTTTTGTTCTGTCTGTGAAATGGGTCAATAATTCTAAGGATGTCAGTGATGAAATTGGAGATAAGACTAGTTTAAATATGGGTGTCTTTAACAACTTATTTAAATAGGCACATCTCATTACTTTTTTTTATTTGTGACTTCTAGTTTGTTGAACCTGCAACCAGGCAGGATTGTTTCCTGATAAGAAGTTCTTACAATATCTTTGAGTCTGGTTTTGCTGTTGTCTTCAATGTGGAGGTCCAGTGGTAGCTTTTGTATTTAATTTTACTATTGTTAAAGTTATCTGTTGTTGATTACTGTAGCTTTTCAGCCTCTTATCTAGGCTCTGAACAATCTACTTTGGGGATCTTCCTGCAATTTACAGTACTCTAAAGATAGAGTGGTAGTATTCTTAGGCTTTTTTTTCCTGATTGATTCATGTAGTACTGCAGCTAGACAGCTGTAGCTTTATTTATGAGGAAGAAGTTTTCCTAGGCTTACTAAATTTTTCTTAGTTTTCAAGTCTTGACTAGAATAAAAAAGCAATATATGTATCAGGAAGACTAGTTGAATCTTCTAGTTAAAATTAGGAAGTAGCACTGTAGGTTTCTTAGGTACTCAAAGTGGTTTTCTCAATTCAATAAAAGGATGTTAGTGCTGTCTCTAGCAGGCAATATGTTTTCAAGAATATGCTGCTTTGGGTCTTTCGGGCTAAAGCTGTTTACAAGAAAAAAGCGTGTGGTCTAACTAAAAGTAATTTTAATTTTTCTTCTCTAGTTTTTGAGTTTCATTTATATTTCTATGGATTGTTCTCCACCATTCAGGAGACAGATAAAGCCTGAACTTTTGAAGAAAAAGTTAAAGGAGGGGAGTCTTGTCATATTAATTCTTCAGAGACAGAAAAGCATAAGGCAAAAATCCAAGATTGGTGGATTGTTTTTTGCTTTCTAGATGACTTTTAAGAATGTAGGCATCAGTGTTGTTATAGTAAGATAAATCTTTCAAGAACTGTTAGGCAGTGAGGATATGAAGTGTTGCTGTTAATGGGTGTAAACACTCGGAACAATGATCAGAAAATCTCCATCTCGCTTAATTTAATGATTAGTGCGTTGGCAAGTAGAACAAGTTGCACAGTTCAAGTTTGTAGGGAA